GCTCTCTTCATAATAATTAATAATGGGAAATAGTTTTCCAAATGTTGCACCGCTATATCATTCATTGCATTCATTGTTGGGGACTATCTTATTGTTTTTTATTAGTTTCACACGAACCTTCTATATTGTAGGCCTATTGCTTCTGTTCAATATTGTAAACTAATGGGTTTTAACTAACTAAATTTAATTTTTTTCTTTTGCATACTTTTTGTTAAGAATCATGTAATGTTTTTATATTCACAATTTAACTAGTAAACATTATTATTCTTTGATATAAATCGCAAGAAAAGTGTGTAATTGTAAGCAAATGCTGATAAACTATGCATAGATTATGGAAGAGATCATTGGTTAGTCAAAACTGGAACATTAAACTTCCAAACGACACATTTTGCTCTTCAAAAACAATTCATTCATTTTCATTGTATTCAAGTAATACAATAAAAGGTAGTTTAAATATGCTCAATACAAACTTTTTATACCAATAACAAATAAATTAACGCATACTTAATCAATAAATATTTCAAACAGATACCCACATTTTACAGTTATGTAGACCATTGACCTTCCCGTCATGTAACTAATACTAATTTGAATCATTTTAAGTATGCAGTCAAAGTTACTATTGTAACGCAGCTCATACAGCAAACCTGTTACCGTAACATGCTTGGTAATGGTAAGGATTCCCAGGTTGTTCTGTCCATATTACGACTGGTTTGCCAAATCGACTCCGGTTCTTCCTTGGTTTAAGCAAGCATTGTTATTTAAATTGTAAATTGTTTTACTCATCTCCTGCGGTAAAACATTAAATGAAAGATATGTATTGAAACAGAAATTTCAGACTCTCTTAACAGTTGATATTCTTGTTTCTACAAATTTGAATTTCACATTTCCCTTACAACCACATCCACAACGATAGTGTAAAAACCTCTGTTGTAATGATCGAAAATTCTCCCTTGTTACTCAAAGCAATACTAATTTACAAATGCTTGTTCTCTACTGAAGCTACTGATTGTTGATATCTAGTTTGTTATCCATCTATTAAGTACAGTATATCCACATTAGTAGTATAAAAATTGATATTCTGAAATCTTACAAGGCAATCTAAAGCGCATTGAAAACTTAATTGTTTTATGGCCTATTTACAACGTAGTCCTTTGTTTAGTAAAGGATGGACATATTTATAACAGAACATGCACTGTGCATGATGTTTTTATTACATGCAAACATGTAGTAGACAACTAGGCGTAGGTTGACTATCACTGAAATGTTGATTTTTATTAACGGTTTTGGAAATACATATTTTAGATTATGTGCAAAATATATTGCACATTGTTGTTATCTACAAAAGGTAAAACTTTACTGTTATGTGAAAATCATTAATTTGGAAAAGGAAGTAATATAATAATACAAGTTTATCTCATAATTTAAAAAGTATTTAAATTTCATCATACAAAATAAATAAAATGTTTTAAATGTATAATTGAGGTTTCAAAAAAGCTTTTGCAGTTATATCGTTAAGACAGTTTCCTATTACATTTTATCTCTTTATACGTTGCATAAAACGAGTTTTCATCAGGGATAATTTGTTATGTAAAATAAAGTTTAAATTGTACTTCCAGACCTTTTAACTTTGTTAAATGAACACAAACCGGCTTTGGGCTTCGTGTAAGAAACTAGTTTGGTATATTTATATCGTTGTAGCAATTTATACGTTTTATATTGTTGGTTTTAAAATATTTTTTAAATAATTTTTCCACTGTGGAGTAAAGAAATTAAAAAAAATGTGTAAATAATGTTGTGGCCAAAATAAAATAAAAATGAATATACAAAATAAACTGTGTGAAATATATTTTCCATATTGTTATTAGATTGTTGACATTCAAGGCCATTTCTCAATTTAATGTGTATAGGATAAATTAATATGTGTGGTAAGAATACGATAACTGTATTTTAAATCCACACTATGATTTGAGAGAGTAAATTCAAAATGCAATTATGTGTCAAAAGTTGGGTTTTTGTTAAATGTTTGTAACATTTGGAACAAATAGAAACAGCAGTTTTTCTAGATAAACTGCAATAACATAAAAATCTTGTTTATAATTTTATTAATGCTGCATAGGTATATACTTGCCAATTGGAATTTTAATGACTTTATCTATGTGTGCATAATAAAAATCTTCTTTGAGAAGAATGTTAAAATATGCAATACCACAAACATATGTTATATTAAGCTCAGCAAGGGCCAGTGTAGGTATAACTTACACTTGGAGACTACAAGCAAGACTTGGGGCTGGACGACACCCGATATGTTATCATTTGGTCCCAGCTCTCTTTTAAACTTACAGAACCTTTTCTAGAGATTCATTTCTCAGTAAAGTTATTTTAATATTTGCCTTTGTTCCAAACCAATAATATTATATTCAAACTAGTGGCTTGTAGGGGCAGTAGCCCCTATGTATATATTGTAGTAATTATTTTGTACAAATTATTAGTCCCATGGGTTACCCTACCTTGATTATCGTTTAACATTATTGTATATTATAATATGTATAATAAAGGGTGTCCCAATAAGAACGCCGGATTTGAAATGTTAACAAACCATATATATTCATGCTAAATTTACAATATGAAACATGAATCTTAAAGCTTAGTATCTCCGATTAGTAATTGAGTATTATGTCTTGTAAGTGCCAACCTGCTGAATACTGACAAGCTCGACATCTCTTGACAAAGTTTTCCATCACTTTTTCACACACTCCCTGTTGAATTCCATTAATGGCACGAATCATTTCCTCCTTCAAGTCTTGGATTGTTTGAGGGTTATTGGCGAAAACAAGCGACTTTAAATATCCCCAGAACAGAACTGAGCCAATTTATTCGAACTTAGAAATCAATCTTCGGACAGATGGCTCATTTGGTGCATTGTCCCGGCCGTAAATAGCGCGCAGCTTCCGTGCTTGTAGTGCACTTTATCTATGACCACGCGTTGATCCGTCGTGTAGCGATTCATGACTACAAATGGGACCTAATACTAATAACACCGGTGATAATTTGGGAATTTCTATTGAAATACAGATAAGGATAAGACGATCCTCAAATCCGGCGTTCTTACTGAGACACCCTTTAGTTATTACATACCTGCATAATGCATTTTGAGGTCTGCTCTGTTAAAAATAAAAATTACAAAGGATTTTTCATGCGGTGTGTTTATAGTATAAACTTTCTAATCATAATACAACTAAGGATAATTTTCAATGATAATCTTCATGACTATTAATTAAATGTATATACATTTCTTTGAATATAGACAAATTCACTTAGATAAAATACATGGAGATAAATGGAGATAAGTAAAATGTTTTAATTCAACGTTTGCCATCTTCATGCCATTCACGCTTAACATAAGCGATTACATTGAAACATGTTTAAACTGTACTAAATATTATACTGTGCACATTGTTGGAGTTCCAGTCATAATTGTTCAATGGAATAGGTAAATATAGTTATGATACTCTACTCTAAATCAGTAATATTAACTGGATTAAAGGATTACATTTACAATTATATGCTTTATCCACAAGATTTTCAGATATGCAATAAACGTGGATAATCATTGCATGTAATATACATTTATACTATGATATCAAAACAAGTTTTATTTGTCACTAAGCCTTCTTGAAACTTATAAATTATAAGGTATCATAACTGCTTGCTCCTGTACTTCATACTCCCTTTCGAACAAAATATTTTCATAAACATTTTCTAAATAATATTCTCATTATGATATATCTTATCTTTTTCACGGGGAACCTAGTCAGGAGGTAAAAATCTGTACCAAACAAAATTAAATAGAATATCTTGTATGGTAAATCATTTGTCAACTATTAAATCTATAATACTAACATGCTGTTGTGAACAGTAAGACTCGAAAATTATTCTTAATTTAGTCTATCCATCTATCCATATACTTAATCCTACTCAAACAATTTCCATGATTAAGGTGTCTCGGAGAGAAGAATGGCAATGAAAAATTAAATTTTATTAAGGGCTTCGCTCTCTTGCATAGGATTAATTTTTTGAGTTCACTTTCAAAGATCCAGATATGTTGACCAAATGTCTTCGTTACGGTATAAACGTAAATAGTAATTTAACCGCTGGCCATCAGATAAATAACTAACCATCTGGTTGTTAACGAAAGACAAAACCGTTTATGAAAATGGATTTTGAATTAGATAAATAGTTTTGTTGACAATGAATTGTAACCTGATTGATGTAGGTTGGAAGGAACGACCTTATTAACGCATTTTATTGTAGTTTTAGGATGTGAGATGTAAATATTTATGGTGTCTACTCGTATCTAAATTCAACATAGTTGATTTATGGTAAATTATTGGTTTTATTCACCCAATAACTGTTTTAAACAAGCATAATTTATGAAAGGTCAATAATTCCATTCGATTTGTCCCAGAAACAAGTTTTTGACCCTGTTCAAATGCGTAATTTTCGCACCGGTTCCCTCGTAACCTTCAAGCACTTGATACTGATGTACTGAATGAATGAATGAATGAATGAATCCTTTTTATTTCATTACAGTACATCAGTTACAATGGTACAAACAACAATTACTAAAATGTAATCCCCAAATGGGCTAAATGCCTGTGGTTGGGGATTGAGTCTATCATCCGCACAATAAAACAATAAATTTAGGCTACTTTTAAAAGGGAAATAATATACATTGTACACAGAAATTTGTTTACAAGAAAAGATAAATAATATAAAAACTAGTTTACGAGATAAATATATACAAAACGATACAGTGTATGAAAAATGAATGAAAAATGAATGCACGCATATATCACGCGTTCAGTTTGCACGTTAAAATGGAAATGCCTACTGATGGATACGTTGCTACTGATTAAGATTAAATCCTAATTTATACAGTTTTAAATGTCCGTAGATACAAATGAATGCTTTATATTTGGGTTTAAATAACGTTAAAATAAAATATGTGGGTTATTTAATGTATTACTTTTTGTACAATTTATTCACTTGTTTTTTCCAAAGGGAATCAATTTTCCTTGGAAGCCATACTCCTTGTCAATTCCGTAGACTGCTGACTTTTCAGCTGATGTCAGTGGTCCATGAGCCAAGACATATCTATAGTCGATCGTCTGGTCGCCTAAACAACAACAAATTCATATTTAACATAGATGACAAACATCGAACATGGTTATTAATCTAAGGAAAGTAATACACAAAGCATATCAAAAACTTTAACGCTGTAGCATATAATAACTAAATGCAGTCGTTTAGCAGGTATATGAATAATTTTGTGTTTATTAAAAGTTTACCCGGACATGGTAAACAGATATGGTTTAACAGATATGATGGATATGATTTAAATTATATATATATAAAGCCTGGCATAAATTTGTTAAAGAATGTTTCCACAAACCTTATTATGTATAGAATTATAACTTTACATTGCAACGTGGATAGACCACCACGAGGTTCAATTAAAACGTAGGGGGTAAAACTATAAATTATAATCACAACTCTCTTAAAAGAAAACAACTTAATTTCCAAATCAAAATCTTGAATACAAAGGATGGTAGAAAACGTTGATCAACCTGGAAAATGTTTTAAATAACTTTTTACCCCACTAGATAGTAATCAGGTGGTTTTTGCACTCTATTTTGACTAAAAAGTTGTTGTTTTCAGAAAAAGGTTAGTAAAATTAGCTGAAGCATGCTACAATCGGCTGGGTAAATTGACGGTACTCCTTTAATAAGGCGTCATATGAGTTTCTTCAATTGTTTTAAACCAATTTGCACAATATTATTAGAGAGTTTAAAAAACTGTGAAAAATAATGGACTACGCAGTAAAAATTACAAAACTGTTAAAACGTTGTGGTACAAAACTCTACAGTTTAGTTAGTACAGTTTAGTTTTATAAGGCTAAAGGCGGTGCACCCTAACGAGCTTGGATTGTACAAATTTTAAGATTTAGTTTTGTATGTAAAAAAGCGAAATTGCAAATATCTTTTGGAAGAAATCACTCTTGATTTCCTCTTTATTTTCAGAACATTTCTCGGAGCTTGGTTGTTTGCTTACTGGACATGTATAGCTCCCTATTACTAAGATAACTAAACAATGTATTGTAATTGGGATTATTTCTGATTAAATTGTTTCAACACTACTAAAGTTTTTACTTGTGGACTGTACTACCTAGTGTTATATTATATCTTTGATCAAGCAGTTTCACTTCCTGAGAGTGAGGCTGGAGATTGGCAGGAGAGGCTTTTCTTACTTTGGGCCCAAGTTGTATAACGACCTCCCCTGTGATCTTAAGTTGCTAGGTGTTCCAGCTTTTATAAATAAACTAAAAGAAATGTATAGACTGCTGTGGACAAAGGACCTCAAATTTTGTAAATAGATTATATATGTATACAATCTGTTATTAGTTTTATTTAGTATTAGTAAATTGACAAGAGTTATCCTGTAAAGCAGTATGTATTAAGGAACGCTTGCTAAATAAAGGAATTTTTATTCATTTATTATTTATAATGAGGAAAACTACTTACTTCCTTCTTTGCTGCAGATGTAATAGAACGCATATCTTCCTGGGACATACTTGATTACATTGACTTTGTAGACTTCGTTGGCTAAAAATAAAACATACAACATAAGAATACAATATAAGTATGCAATGTTTGTTTTTCAAATGTTCACGTTTCTCATTAAAATTATAACATATAGATAAGTTTATTAAAAGAGAAATAGCCTAAGCTATCAAATGATATAACAACGTTAAAAGTGAAAGATTATTCTACTATCCTCAACAATGTCTACTTTAGGATTAGTTCGCAAGATGTTTCTTTTGTTTGTTTGTTGTTACTTAAACAAAAACTACTGTAGCAAATGGACAACTCTATTTGATAGCCGGATATAATATTTTCAGCCCGCATTTTTACATCAAAAACACACCAACAAAATGTTTAATTTAAACAAACTAAATTTGTTTATGTAATTGTAAAACTATAATAAAAACTAGAGATAATTTAGCTAGCTTATTAAAAATAACTAGTGTAGAAATTTAAGTTTTTATATATCACGCATGTGGGCTCTTAGTGTATTCAGTTGTTTTCAAGGCGAAATTAGTCTAATACTTTAAGAATAAATCATGATGAAAATGGTTAGTTAACCCACAATCTAAATCTAAGCTAAAGCAACGCTAAACATACTAGTTGTTGTAGCGGTGAGGGTCCCATGTCCATTGTTGGTGATTATCTCATCAGCCAACTGACCTCCTTTTCCGTCCTTCCTATGATCAAACAAATTACAAACATGTTAAGAATATAATTATGAATGATCACAAACAGTCATACAAAAAACACAAAATTCAGAAATGTTTCTTTCACAGAAAAATATAATCAAAGAAATAACATTTCATGCATATGTAAGAGATTAAATCTAATTTGAACTAATCCGTTCCGATTTCTCTATAGTATGGTTTGCAAAATATTAAAAATGGTGATTATAAAATGTTCAAACATTCCTATTTTTGTTAAATGAGAGAATTAATTACACCTTAAACAACCCCGTTTTATTTTAATTCATTTAAAGGGTCTTACCTTTTTCTCAATGCATTTTTTGGATTTTAGACAATACGGTTTTATGTAAGTTTGTTAAGTCATTGACAGTCTACTGGACCCTAATATAATTAAAAAAACGATAGTTTTAACTTTAATAGTAATTATTCTTACATTTTGAAGCAGTAATCTTAATTAGCCAAATACTAATTACACTATCCGTTTGGAAAGTGAACAGTCCAAAGCTCCTGGTAGCAGGATAGGTAATGTTGTAAATTAAGAAGTACTGTCTTAGTTTAACTTAAGTGGATCACAGATATTGTTTCATATAATATATTATTTCTGATAGCATTCGTTATCAATGCAGTATCAGATGTTATTTTGAAACAGCAATTATTTTATTATTTTAATTAATTATTATTTTTATTAATGATTTTAAAGAGATAAAATATGTATATACATTAAATTTTTATGTTTCAGTTAGCTTTAAAGTCATGTGTGTAATGATTGGATATATGGTTCATCACACGGAGTGATTCTTACGTTGGTCGTTTACTGTCCAAACGTCAAGACTTTTGTTGATAATAGCAAAAATGATGAAATACATCAAATAATGGCCTTTTTGTTAATTCGAAACGTGGCATTAAACTATAATCTATCTTCTATACTTTTTATACTATAAACCAAACACCATTCACTGACTCACTGATCACTACTGTATCTCAAAAACTATCAACCATAAGATCTCAGGAATCGGTATGGAGATTCTAATTAGGCTCTAGGTATGCAATAAGAAGAGTTTTCAATAAACTCCAGTGACTTATTATGTACGTAGTTTCAGATTGAGCAGTCCAAATCTCCTGGTAGAAGGACAGGTAATGTTGTAAATTAAGAAGTACTGTCTTAGTTTAACTTAAGTGGTCACATATGTTTTACATAAATTTCCGTTAGCAAGGCCACGACGGGATAAGCTAGTAGCTAATAAATTTCTGTTCAATATAATTTTGTCCTCAAAGACTGATATATGATTCTATACTTACGCTGTGTATGTAATAATATCTCTGTATTGGCCGTCGGCAGCAGGGGTCATTTTTATAGACAATGAGCTGAGATTTTCATTGAACTTTGTAGCAGGTCCATAGGTTACCTCCCAGCTACCACCTTGCTCCTTATGGAACTAAACATGAAACCTATGTTTAGTAAATATTTAAGGAGCTTGGTTTTAATTGATAGTTACATACCTCTAGCCATAGCTTGTTTTGCTATTGATTAGAATATAAATAATTAGAACTGCGATAGACCTTTCTTGACAGTTAGTTCTCAAAAAGAAAATACTCAATTTGTTTTATTATGTCATTAAAAATTACTACTTTATGCTGTGAAACCTGATGTATAGTTAAATATTTCTTAGATAATCACTAAAGTAACCTTATAAGAAAATCAACGCATGTATACCTTGTCAAAGTCAAAGCCAGTCTGGGTTTGTACGTTGACATCACATGGTCCCATGGTAGGGATGTCCGCCGAGCAGACAACGATGGTAGCGACGACGAAGAGAGTGGTGGACATCATCTTGGAAAAGTGAACATCCATAGAAATTTCCGCATATAAGTACTGGTGGAGTTCGTTAAAACACAATGCTATTACGTCTGTCAAAGAAAAGAAACGTCCCCACTATTTACACACTTGTATGAATAACTGTCAACTGTTTACTAAGTTGATCGACGAAGACAAATTAATAATGATCAATAGATATGTTAGTTATTAGCAAATACCTTATATCACTTTGTTTCTGTAGAACATAACTGAACAAACATCACATGTTAACACATTTACCCTTGATTACACAACGTTGTATCAATACATCTTTAAGGTCACACATATTTCCTCCTTCATTATTTTGAAAATACTTTCAAATAGAGTTGTTTTATAAAATAAAAATACAAATATTCTTATGGAATATTACACGTTTACACGTATTGTTATCTATTTCCTTACGACATATTAAAATTATAGGCAATATGTTACACGTTATGTTGGCCTAAGGGAAGAATTATTGCGTTAAACATAAAACTAATAATTTTTTTTATTAACTGCACTCATTAATTACAAGAACGCATTTTGTAAAAGTTGTGTGCAAAAGGTATCTGTATAATTAAGTATACCCCAAGTAAACTTTTAAAATCTAATATTTTAGTACATATCGAATTCCATAGGACATAGTCATAGGGCTTTGAATTATTGAATACCAGGTTAGTACAGAGTATTTTATAAATGCACAAGACAGAATGAATTAAAAGCATAAATAATTAACATTATGTTTTCAACTTAAGTTATTTTACAGAATACATTTTGTAATACAAGGTTAATTTTTATTTACTTTATTTTATTTAGTTGAAAATAAACAGAAACATGGAAAAGGTGCACCTTAAGAATTTGAAATATGTGGTTAAAACTACCCGACTTTGCGTGTTCCTTAGCCTTTTTTTTATTGCTACTTCAGGGAATCTGGCTGCCCATGCAAAAGGTTTGCCTCGTCCAAAATACCCAGATGACTAAGTCTCTTACCACATTAGTGTCATGAGGAGGAGTGCTATTAAGTTTGTCGAATAAATATATGTCCCATTAAATAAATTGTTTGTAAAATAATTTACGTGTTCAGTATATGGATCAAGAACATGCATCAGACATAACCTGTATTTAAGATTCTTAAGGTGCAGCTAATCCATGATTTTTGTATGTTTCCAATAAAAAATATACTAGGCTTACCTTGTATTTGAAAATTTGTTCAGTAAAAATAATCTAAATTACAAATGATCAGTATCTTCATAATCACAACTAAAGTGTGTATTTATAAATATCACTACTTTTACGTGGAATTCAAAGGACTACAACTAGTTTAGGCTGTACTATACTACTGCATTAGATTTTACAAGTATACTTGGGGTATACTTAATTACTGATACATTCTGCACACAACTTTCACTAAATGTGTTCTTGTAATTAATTTTATGTTTAACCAATATTTCTCCCCTTAGAAATATGTCATATATTGCATATAATTTTAAAGCTTCAATTGTGGGGATGTGTTTTATACTATTTTACAGTTTTTAACACGACTTGATAAACAATTTTCATAAGCGAGTTCTAGCGCTCTTTTTATTGACTTTTCAAAATGTGTTAAATAAGTCGTATTTACAAACTTTTGAATGGGTTAAGCTATACCATATTATACGTGTTCCGATAGAAAATGTAATGACGATTCTAAAAATGCAATTGAAAATATCATTATATAGGTTAAAAGTTGAGAAATATGACATTTTCTTAGGAAATGTCAAGATATTTGGGAAAATCTAAAAATTGCTATTGCTGGAAGTAGGAGTAAGATATAACTATCCAAATTGCGTATTTTTATCGCAACTTGTGTGCCTAATAATGCCTTAAAATATTTGACACTGACTACCAAAACCCCTGAATAGTTGTTTTATCCCTGTTGTAATTTAGTTTATATCATTACACTGGACCTAATAAAAAAGATACTAGTATTAATTTTGTTCTGACGTTGTACATTGTACACTTGTATGTAGCGACAGTAAAGATATTCTTATTCTTATCCTAAACTGACCACAATTTACATAGTTCAATATCTACTGTGTACTAACAATAATTACTGATTTTCCTACAGACAAAATGGTTGTATAGGAATCACGCAAGTTCTTATTGTTTCTAGACAAAATAAGCAGGAATGGTTATTGTGGAAAGCCCATTTTTCTTTTGGTTAACCACCATTACATTTTAAGGTAGCTAAATTTATTGCATAAGAGCGCATAAAACGTTTTAACTGCATGAGATTCAAGATAAAGTATTATATTAAATGATAAGTGAAGATATTTACAAATAATTATGTTATAAGTTGAATAATTTTTTGCATGACCATTGTTAATCATTTAAAAAACTATTTATTTATATCATGTGTTTACTGGAGTGACCTCTTAAGATAAGCATTTATTGGTGCAGTTTTAACTAGGCTACCTGTATATGCATAAGGTGATAGAGAAACTAATGAATGTATAGGTCAGTACCTAGTAACATTTGTAAATTGGCTCTTAGCAGAAAGAGGTTATAGGGACATTCAGGATAGTAGGAACTATATTGTTTAAGTTTCTTGTGTTATTTTATCTATTTCAATTGTGAAAGTGCTTAGAAAAGTGCCCATAAATACGATTCCATATTTGGAATATTGTATAGTATCTATTACATTTATATTATGTTAATCTACTAGTACTTGAGGACCAAGCATTGCTCGGGAAAAGTCATTAGTAGACTCTCTCAGAGTATTATTTGGTCAATGTCATGTATCCAAATATTCTTTTGCTAAAAGGAATAATGTGTTTGGCCTTTGGGGACATCATAATGAAAAGGTAAAAGTAACTCTGAGCCGTTTACTAGGGAAATTCGCTTGAACTGCATCGGAACCAAATATATAATAGTTTTACCTACGACCGTTTCTAAAATTAGCCTTTTCGGTTCAGTTCTTAGAATTGAATAGATTCACTTTACAGAAAAGATTTTTTCCTTTACACCACTAGTAACGGAACAATGAGGTTCAAGGATTGAGAGAAAAGGAGTAAAATTTTCTTACAAATTATGAGTAGAGATTAGTAGTAATAAAAAAACAGTCGTAGGTATACTAGTGTCTTAACGCGATCGTTGTATAACCTACTATTTGTATCAATGTTCATAAACCGGCATTTACAATAGTATCAATAAATCTCTTTAACATGACGACCCATAAAATGGATGTTTGCCACTCCCATGCAGCACGTCCTGGGTCTAGACAACCACTATGTGACCGATGTACCCTGGGTTAGGCAAGGTTGCAAACCTTACAAAGGTAGAAGTGAAATTCTATACGAACAGTCAGCTTCTACAAAGGCATTACCTGTTACACACAATCGACAAAGTGTTAATGGAGTTTAAGTCATTTCCTCTTAGCTTTTAAGCTCCGTCATTGTATCGTTCTAGAGTTCACTTTGTGCGTGAGTGACCAGGCACTTGAATGGGATATTGTTTAAGATCAAGTTTTCCGTTCATAGAACCCAGACAGTATTTATTTTATACACCCTGAGTTTTATTATTTTGTGATTGCCATAGATCAATCGTAACATCATTGTATTGAGCTTGAGAAAAACCAGGTATTACAAAACCATTATTAGTCAATATTGCAACTAGGAGGCTATTACCAGAAAGGGGACAAAACCAGCTGCAATAACTACTTACAGGCCTATTAGTTTAATATCAACCTTTAGTAAAGTATTTGAGAAAGCAATGGTTAATAGATTATGGAGTTTCCTAGAGTCCCAAAACATCCTATATGAAAACCAGCACGGATTTGTAAAAAACAGATCGACAACCAGTGCCATGCTTGGTCTCATAAACAGAGTGGTGAGGGATATGGATTCACGTCAGAAAGTAGCAGGGATGTTCTTTGATTTTAGCAAAGCTTTTGACCTCGTTAACCATGATATACTGTTGAGAAAAATGAATGATCTGGGCATTAGAGGAGTAGCTCATGCTTGGTTTTCTTCGTACCTGAAAGACAGGCGACAGTTTGTTATGATACCAGCTGTAAATAAAAGTGGCTACTTGCAGAACCATTCCTCTTCAGAAGTCCCAGTCAGGAGAGGTGTGCCCCAGGGTTCCGTCTTGGGTCCGATTCTCTTCCTTATCTTCATAAATGATGTTCCATCCAGCTTGAATCTTGCAAACATATGCCTTTTTGCCGATGACACTTCTATCACCATTTCAAATCCCAGTATTCAGGCCTTAGAACAGACCCTATTTCTTGAATCGAACTGCCTGCTTCAGTGGTGTGAGGATAATGAACTAATCTTAAATGCCAACAAAACCACACTCCTTCAATTTAGCATTGCTCAGCATCGCACATCCACTGACAAACATGTTCTTCTTGATGATACCACTATTTCCCCCTCCCCAGATGTAAAGTTCCTTGGTTTAATTCTAGACGAGAACCTCAAATTTCACAAGCATATCGATCACGTTTCAAACAAGATATCTGTTGGGATTTTCATGCTCCGCACTCTTAAACATACTGTTTCGTGTGAGGTCCTCTTGACAGCCTACTATGGACTAGATTATCCTTATCTGACATATGCTGTACCTGTCTGGGGTTGTGAAAGCCAAAGGACTCAGTTCATATTCAGGCTTCAAAAAAGGCTCTCCGAACTGTTTTTTCCCTTCACCGTCGTCAATCCTGCAGAGATGTCTTCAGATCACATAAAGTTCTAACTTTCCCTTCCATTTACATTTTAGAAACATTATCATTTATCAAGAAACGCCAATCATCATATAGCTCTCCAAGTATCCATAGTTATCGTCTCCGCAACAATTTCAATCTTTCAGTACCACGACACTTAACCACTTTCTTTCAGAAAAATTTCCACTTCAATGCAGTAAAACTTTTTAATGACCTCCCTCTCCCTTTGAAAGCCGAACAGGACATCGGAAAATTCAGGAAATTAGTTAAGTCCATGTTGATAAATAAGGTCTGCTACAGCGTCCGGGAATTTCCTGGTA